TTAAAACATTGCTAAAAATAAATCAGACATATATTTATTGTAAAATCAAACTCATTCGCCGAATCTAAACAAACCGTGCAATTGCATAAACGCTAATCTAGGGCATGGAACACCAAAATCCGATAAATAATTTTAAAAAATGTGTTTCTCTGGAAGAAAACCAGAGGTTTTCAGGATTTTTTAGAAACATCCGGATTTCCGGATATATCTGGAAGACTTTCTTTATTAATATATATATGTTTATTATTTTTTGTAAAATGTTCAGTAAGCTCATGTGGTACATAATTTAAGAGACTAACAAAAATAAACAGTTTAGTTTAAAAAATATATTAGTAAATTCAATGTGAGCTCTTCTGAAAAATTTAATACATGACACAATGACAGGTGTTTAATCTTCTTTATTAAAGAAAAAACACACATAACTTATACTTATGAAATTAATGTTGTTCTTAATTTAATCAGAAACACCAGGAAATACATTAACACAGAATAATTTAAGAAGTATGTGTTCTTTACTGTGAAGTACTGTGCTTGTATCTTAGTATTTATAATTACAGTAAAATCACTATTTACAAAGACAGTTATCTTGAGAAATGTAAGATTTAAAACTAACCAAATTTATACGTGTTTAAAAGTTAGTAAAAAAATTTTATAACTCATCACAAATTTATTCTTAGTCACAAGACTTGGTCACAACATAATAAATTTTTTAATCCAACTAAAAAATATAACTGTTAATTTACATCAGTCTCCCATTTGGTATGGATTAACAATGCTTCATTCCTATTTTTCCAAACCGTGATGCATGCATGTACACTACATTGATATTTCAAAACTTTTCCTTATAATTCTACCTAATGAACACTACATTGGCTTGCAATCTGGTAATAAAACTTTAAGGTAGAGAATAAAATGTTGTATTTATAAAATAAGATTTAGTCTAACCTAGCATAAAATAAAAGTATTTAAATAATTATTACCAGATAAAATAACACAGAATGATTTATCAAAATTATGTTAAAATATACTAATCAATGGCAAAGCTAAGCAGCATGGTTTGTGTGCATATGTTTGTCCCAAGATAAAAAAAGGCATAATTTCACTGAATTTCCGAGATTTTGGAATAACCTGTTAATTTTCTCTGATCTTATAACCACTTTTTTCAAATTTCTGGACTTTTTTATGCATTATTTCTCAACTGTTACTGATGTATTTTATCTAACCCTAAACAACAGCTGTTTCTGTACATCATAGGTCTTTTTTACTCCTAAAAAATGAACAAAGCTGTCAAACATTATTTTCACTACTTGTTTCCAACCTGTCACTTGTAGGCTCTATCTAATACATATAAAAGCCAATTGTTTTTGGTAATGCTCCATTTGTCTGTGTCACTTAGCAACAAAACTATGACCTGATATTGTTGTCTTAAGCATGTATATAATGCTTAGAACATTCAAGAGGACTGGCTTACATTCCACTTTTTTAGATTGTTTTACATTTTAGGTTAGGTATACAATCAGCTTGTTGTAAACACTTCAAATTTCTTTAAAAACATTTACATTAAAGGGTAGTGAACATAATTAGTATGTTTTTTATTAGGTTTTTCATGAAGTTTTTCAATTTTATTATTAGTTTTTTAGATAAAACATTTTTTTTTCTTTCAAATGTATTGCCATTAGTCTTAACTAATGATGATAGTTGAAATTTATTGTTAGGTTTAAACTTTGTGATATAATTTTTTATCATAAACCTTAGGCCTACTGATTTTGGGTGCTTCATCTTCTTTCGGTGTTAAACCATAATTTATATATGATGTAATTAAAAAACTACATTCTGATACATGTGAAATATCAATGGATATGAGAAATCTTCCATTTACCACAGAGCCACTTGAGTAAGACAACTTTATGAAATGGATAAATCTGGTATACTTCAACAATTTCTGCTGAGATGTTATGGGTAAAGGTTTGGGTGATAAGATTATATTAGTGAAGTCTTGGACTCCTACTGCCTAATTGTTTATTACTACCCCAGATAACTGGATCTACATGCATGGCCTTAAGATGAAGACATAATCTTAATGTATCACAAATTTTAATAATATATATAAAAGCTAGTTGTCATTTTGTATGTATGTAATGCTCATATTATGAGCCATTTTTAATTTAAGTTGCACCATTCTTTTTGACATTTTGAGAGTGTACTTAAAAATTGTTTTCATATTCTACTGTGTGATTATTTTTTATTTATAATGAAGGGGAAAGTTTGGTAAACTAAACTCACTTAAAGAAGGTTAGAGGCCCCCCCTTTTTTTTTGTTCTACAAAACCCCAGTCTGTCATTTTTTGTCAAGTCTAACAAAGCTAGTCTTATAATTAAATTACTTTCAAATTTCCAAGATCTGTGTGATACCACATCTTATCAAAACATTTTACTTCTATGCATGACCTATCTATAACTTTTACCTTTGTTTCTTTACTGCTTAATCAAAATGTCTGACAATAGTTTCCAAAACATGGCTGAAAAAAAGTATAAAATAAATTAACTACACACTTTTCTTTAGCACTATAACTCACCTGCTTTGAAAGTACCAAGAAGAAGTAGCACCAGCAATGACCATCTGTTGACAACCTAAGATAAACTCGCTAGTCCACACAAGTGCAATAAGCAAGTACCACCACTGATGATGCACCCATGCTGGTTCATTATACTTGATCGTTGTGAACTGTGCCACGTGTGCAATTTGCTCAGCACTAACCTGAATGGTAGCTGCACTCTGATCTAAAACACTTGAGGGTTCTCCTGAGTTTTCTAGCAGAGGACTCAATACTGTTGTTCTTGTTGGGTAATCTATAATAAATGTTTTGTGAAAATATATCAATCTGCAGCATTTTATGTTTCACAGCCAAATCAAGGTTTATTACTCTAGCTAGGACTAGAACTGATCAGTATCTGCTGGTTCCTTTAGTAACAGCAGAAATACACTTGGTTTATATAAAAATATGTAAACAACTGTATGGGTTTTGAATTGGTAGATAACGTCAACATATACTGATTAAATAATGATTTAACCCTATCGCAATGGACTTGTGTATTTTACACAACCTATGAATTTGAAAGTACGCAAAGTACCTTCACAAAATTTGACAAGCTTTCAGTGAACGTTACGTCTTTTTTAGACGAAAAAAATCAGAATTTCTACTAAAAATTTGTTCAAAATTATATGTTGTCAGACTTTTGCATAATTTCTAAAACTTCCTAAATAAATATCAATTTTTGTTTTCTGAAAAACTTCATATCTTATCCATTATTTTCTCTAACTTGGTTAATTTGACTGACCTTGTAAGTACCATAAAAAGTTAGGGAATATTTCTAAGTTACCCTTTCTTCTTTCTTTCTTGCATATTTTAACAGGAAACCACAATTATTTATACTAAATAGCTTATCTAGTAACAGTATACATCTATTTCTACTTAAATTTTAATGTCTTTTAAACTGTTCCTAACTAATAATACCACCACACAAATTGTAAATCACTCAGCAAACATGTAGCTCATGTTAACTTATCAAATTATGTAATGCACAGGATACTCGGAGCACACCTCATCTAAAAATTATCAGAATTTTTTCTTTATTTTACCTAATCTAACCTAATAAGTTTTATAATAATACATAAAGAATACACATGAAAAACAAGAAATATAATACTTACCTAGGTCGTTTTTTGCTGTTGATTGTTGATGAAACTTAAGACTAATTTTTTTATAGTAATGGTACTACCATACTAAATTTTTTATTCAACTAAATACTGCACCTAAGAACACAAAATAATAATAAATAGTAAAAAGCAAACAATGTCCACTAACTATCATAATTCTTCTGGTTTTCTAATTATGCAATAAGAGCCATTAAAATTCAGCTAAGCTCCTCAATGTGTTTCCTGTGGGAAAAAAGTTTGAACTGGAAGAGAAATATGCAATTTTATATAAAGAATACAATACATCAATTGATAGATTAAAACTTTGGCTTTCTCTTGGTTATAAACAATATATCATTAAACATAGAAGAGACCTATTGGTAATTTGTGAAATAGAGGATGATGTGACAGGCAGGCATGGCAGGAGGGGTCTGATTTTCTAGATAATGGCCCTGTAACCAAATAAGATTGAAGGTTTTAAAAATTATGCTTTACCTGAGTAATAACTATATTATAATAAGCAACTTATATTAAGTTCCATACTTTTGGAGTAGCAGTCAATAAATTAGAGAAGAGAGAAGATCTAGAGAACAAATGTCACAATTTTCATACTAGGGGAAATTGAGGATTTTTTTAATATTTAGTTGTAAAATTAAGAATTCAAAATTTATATTATATTAAAATTTGATTTATTAACTATGTTTTGATGTCAAATTTATTTGTATACATTGTTAACAAAGTAGTTCAATTAAATTTTGAATGCAACTCTATAAAAGGCTGTGATATGCACAATTTAACCTACCCAATGCAAAAGGGTTAATGAGTATGCAATCAAAAACCATTAAAATCTCACTCCAATCAATAAACTGAAGATTCAACAGTCCAAATTAGATTATAGGTTTTCAATGTTTGAAATTTCAGTGTGTGCTAAACATTTTTACTTGGTTTGAGTTATTTTGAGGGTAAACCCTGGTTATTAACTATAGGAGTAATAAATTATCATAATAACAATTGTTCTACAGGATAACATGAAGGAAAATAGCATAAGATATATCTACTTATGTTGAATATATCATATTCATATATTACACTGTACTTTTATTTTATGCTTAAGAGGACTAAATCCCAAGTTCTGTGGGATGAGGTCATTTCAAATTAAAAGTATTTTGCATGATAACTCTCCTTTCAAAAATAAATAAATAGATATAAAAAGATGTAAGTTAAGGTTCAACAAGTTAGACACTGTAAAAGTTCAGCCCAACAGCTGTCTTATCTCTTTCATGGGCTGATTATAATTGTATGGCAAGGGCTGACTGAGTGTTTTATCTTTATTTTAAAGTGTAGTTTAGTAGATGGGATGGCCTAGATGGATCAAGAAATCCCTTGTTGTCCTTAAATTTTATGTTATGTTATGAAGTTCTATTTAACCAAATAAAACATGTGTGCATACTAAATAAAATTACATTAATATAAAGATTCTTTATGAACCACATGGCTTCCAGAAATAAACTAAACACTATATGGCTTTAACCACTGGCATTTTTGAACATTAAACAGGTCTTAATGGGTATAATATACAGCAGTATAAAAATATATAACATTGGTTTCCAAATTGTGAACAATATTTGTGACTGGAAGACATTTACCTGCCGTAGCCATTGTCAAAACTATTCCTAGCCAGAAAATGAAGAACATTCCCAATACAATGAAGGTAAATATAGGCTGAAGCAACAGGCAAGGCATGGCACGAACACACTTCCCAGCCTCATGAAACAAGGCTACCATCAGCTCCACTCGCTTTCTTAAAATTATCAGAATCAACAATAAGCACACCTGTAAATAAGAAAACACCATGCAGGAATGTTATAAGTTAATTACTACAAGAAAATGCACATGTAACAGATACTTTTAAAATAATAGTCAAAACTTGTATGTGTGTCCTTGGTCAAGCATCTCTACCTTTTAAGCAAATTGGTTAAAACAAAAAGCTACATCACAAATGTCTAGGTTGACTTTTGTTGTTTTTTTGCACATAAAAATTTAAACAAAACAAGTGATTACATCTCTCTTTTTTTTATCATGTTACTAGTTTTATATCAAAATTTATTTTCAGAATGATTTTTTAAAATGGCATTATCAACACAAATTAGTATTAATCATCAGAAATAACACCCAATAAAAGTTAGCAACATCACATATGACTTGTAACTTTAACTATTTCCAGAAAATTCCACTGTGGCAATCAGTTACATCTTTAAGAAAGATTAAACTCACGTAATATGGCCAATAAAAATTATTAAGACATTTTAAAATTAATTGTGTCATCTCCTAAAGCACTGACTAATGGAATGAGATTGTATGAAAACATAACTTATATATATAGAAAAGTCCATTTTATTTTGCTCAACATTACTATCTCCAACACACACAGATACTCACTTATACACACACAAATATACATGCAAATACTGATTTCATTTTACCATTCCCTTATTGTCATTAGTGTCCTAGTACTTTTTTTTGGCAAAGTTATATCAAGCAGGCGGTAGCACTGCCTATGTACAAATGGCCCGGATTGTTCACTGAAATGGTATTTTAAATACTTCCACAATAGGTAATCAGACCTTTACAATACTATACAGCATTTCTATTTATAACAATATCTATATAATAACTGAGTCACAAGTTCTGGCAACATCTGTAAATATCATAACAAAAAGTTTGAATTTCTTGCTCTTTCTGCTGCTACTTTTTTATTACATAATAACTCAAAAACCAAAACAACAGTGTCAGTCATTTTCACTGAAGTGACATAGTTTCAAATGGAATATCTACCTTTAAGTATTATCTAACAGTAGTACTTAAAGGAAATCATAATTTTAATGTAAACTATGTTATCATTACCCCTTGAAGTTAGTTTTCGTACAGAAATCTGGTGTTAGCTTAAGTACAGGGTGAAACAGGAATTACCAGCCAATAATAGATGAATATTTGATTACTATAAAATGTAGAATTATCAATGCTTTGTACACTATACAATCAATGTCTTTTGGGAGCTAACCCCTACATTATGTATGAAGTGAAGGAGTAAAAAAAATCTATACAAACAATATTAAATTTTATTACACACATTTATAGAATACACTAACTTTTAGTCAGGGGAAAAATGTCACAAACTACTAATAACAAATTTTGTAAATTAAAACTTATGTACGGACAGCAGTGCCAAAATGAATGCAAACAAGAATATAGGGATGATACAGCTATACATAGATCATCCCAACATGACTTTCAACATTAAAATTTGTTACACTGTAAAATCCATACCTGACTTTACTATTACTATAGTTGGAAGTTATATATTTTGACTGTTGGTGTGCAGTTTGTTTATCATAATACCATGGTCATGTCAGGGTAGGCATCAATGTAGTGTAAATAAGAGCCTAGGACTTGAATGTAGTTAAATCAAAACATTGATTATTACAGATTCTCGCTACAGGTTGGTCGAAGTGACCAATCTCGTAACCATTTTGTAAATCTTGCATTTTATAGTGTAACATTAAATCTTAATATTGAAAATAATATAGGAATGACCTAAGTATAAGCTGTATCATTCCTATCTTCTTTTTTGCATTCTTTTTTGGTACTGCCATTCCTACATCATTTTATATTTACAAAATGTTTTTTTATTACTTGTGAAAATATAGATCTGACAGATTGCACATCCCCACCACTGTGTAGGCATACAGCAGAAACTTTTGTTACTAAGTTACATTTTTGTCAAGTTTCTCACATTCTAGTTTGTACCATAGCTTCTTTTTATCTGTCTTTTACAAGACCTGTTTTTTGCTTTTAGTAAATTGTCTGAAAACTTAATTTGAATAGGCAGTATAGTGTGGATCTACTTCTGTAGTTACCTTTTTTGTTTACATACACTCCACCACTTCTGCATTACAGTTTGTACCCTAGTTTTATTAGTTTGACCTTTACATATAATGCTTACTGTTTTGACCCAGTTATCAGAAATTTTAGTACATCATTAAACTTAAGAGGGAGGCATTGAGTTATACCCTTCTTTCTTTATATATTAAGATTAACAAAGCTGTCATTTTTAAAATATACATACAAGAAACTGTATGAAAATGTTTTGCTCACAATAAAAAATAAATATATGTGCTCCATTGTAGTTTGCATAACAATCAAAAATCAAGAAAAGTTGAAACAATAGTAGCCGTAATGATCCTCACATTTCTTAATGACAAATGAGTTATGTTTTTAAAAAGATTTAAAACAGTCATGTATCTGCTATTCATATGAGTAGAGTAAACTTACAGTCAGGATGGTTACCAAAACAGCATAAATGAGAAAAGCACGTTCATTTTTAGCTGCTTCTTCCAAAAGCTCAAAGAAGGGAGTTGAGTCCAAACCCCACTTGATTCTCAAGTAAGTCCACCACAATATGCCCGTCAATGCTGAGAAAAAACTCAGATTTCAAACAAATAGCATTTTCAACTTACGATGTTACACAGAAGACTAATTAAGAATTAGAAAAACCATAAATCAAGATAGCAATGACAAAGCAAGATTCTTTCTATTTCTCTTGGCTGCTAAGAGAAAATAAGAATGATGATTATATGGTCATTTAGTAATGTTATTTTTGATTGTGTAATATTTTTAAGGAATTCTAATAAATTTTTAGATTTTAATATATTGATTTAAACCATTTATTTTTCAAATGAAGAAATATGTATGATATTACCAGTACCTATAATCAGAACAGCTACAGTAGAGGACAAGATTTAGTATTTTAACCTGAATAGCACCTTATATGATAAATGGGCAAAACTACTGACCAGAAACAGTGCAACTATCAGACATGCATACTGCACAATATGCAGCTATATAGAGCAGAGTTTGTTCTAGAATGTCCATGCATATATAAAGGGCTATGTATGCATAGTCACCTCTAATTTCAACTGATAAGACTAGAGGAAAGTTAGTTAGTCGACAGAACCTACCACCAATGCTCAAGTTACTCTTGACTGACAGAAAGTGGCATTTGATAGTCACTTTCATAGCACACTCACAGCCCTGCAAAGATGCAAACCAGAACCCTCAGATTCACAGTCCAGACAAAGAATTCACTAAGCTACACCCAGCACATGTAAGGAGAGAGATAGAAACCATGTTACTCAACACAAAGTCTGATACTGATGCCTCCAAAGCCATGGAATTTATTAGTCCTTTACAATGACACATTTTTCACAGAGAGGCCAATCAGTACCTAATTAATTTGTGTAATTTACAAACAAACTATACAATTATAAATGGGAGAGGGGATATCATAAATGTAGAATTATAGTCATAATAAACATAGGGCACTGTAAAGCTTCAAGATTCAATTTGATTGTGAATTTGATTCGTTAGCTAGGGCTCTGATTCAATATTTTCAAATCTATATCACTTCCAGTGAATTTTAGAATTTAACTTTTAATTCAGTCTATATACTGGAACCTATTTTCTTGTAATAACACTTTTGTACCATTCTTCTTCCAGATGTTTAAGTACATTATATCTTTTGTTCTCAGAAAAATTTAATTTTATACTCATTACTAACTGTGTGTAGAAGCACTCTACATAAAGAAAAAAAATTTCTCTCTTTGATTTTAAATTTAATTTTACCTATATACCCTGTGATCTATATATGCACAGCTAACTTGAATTGATATTTCATGATGATTGAATTTTTAAAAACATTTTGTGATTCATAAGGCCCTAAATAAACATATATAACAACAAGCTAGGTACAGTAAAAATAAAGCATAAAACACAAATGAAACTTTTAATTAAAATATAAGCACACTATATACACACACTGCAGGTGATGTGCACTTATGATTATCAGATTTAATGTATTTTTCATATACTTATTTAAGTTGATTATTATACATTTATCCTTGACTTCTGTTTCCTTACAATAAATATGACAAGAATTATTCTACTTAAATACTTCACCATTGTATCAGGTAATTTTGACATAATTCATGAGATTCATCCTTGAATATTAAAATACAAAGTCCCCAATTATTTTTTTTTGAAGGATTGTTTTAACTTATAAATTTAACTTTTAAATTATGAATCACTATATCTGTTCTTTTATTTATAGCATCTTTGTAAAAGGATAGTAGATAATACATGAAATCAGGCAACAAAAAACAACCTTAAGAAATTGAAAACAAAGTGAAATATCTGCAAGCTTCAACAGGCTCTCGAGCCTTCTATAAATTGATAAGCCTATAAATTGAACAAGCAAATTCATTCACTGGTGTTGAGTATGTATACATAAGGATTATCAATCCCTGTTGTGCTTCAGTTCCAGATATCAAATCCTAAACCTTTTAATATTCCTTTATTTTTCTGGTCTCCAAACCTTTTGTATTTATGGTGGAAAAATTTTAATAAAATCAAAATTCTGATCATTATATACAAAAAAAAAAGAAAATCAATTACATGAATAATTTAAAGGGCCAAGAAAAGAAAAAGAACAGGAATGGTTTACATATTTGTAATGATTGACATTAAAAATCTAGCATACGACTTTTTTTGTTGTAAACTGAAGTATGTTAACACATAATAAGTGTATCATTTTATAGCTTCATCCAGTTTATTCAATAGATATTACTATTTATTTTCTAAAATACAAAAATGTTTTTGTTTATTTGTTGTTAAGTGCAAAAGCTGCACACTGGACTATCTCTGCTGTGCTCATTGCAGGAATCAAACCTTTTTTTTTGTTATAAGACCTTAAGTTTGCTGCTTAGACACAAGGATTGAACAAAACAAGTTGAAGTCACATATAAAAAAACATATTACATATATTAATTTGGTGAAATCAGATGAATAATTTCTGTTATCTCTGCTTATCCATTTTTAAAAAGTCTTAATGAATTACAATAAATTCCTGCATATTCACAAATTCACTATTTCTTGTTTGTAGAAAAACTAGCTGTAAGTAGTCGACAGTCAAAGGCTAATAAAATAATTTTAGATCTAGTTGTCTCTGGGACAAGTGAAATTCAGAAAGTACTTGTCCCTTCCATAATATTTTTGTCCCAGTGAAGTCTGTTTGACTGTTGATTTTCATACAAAGCTACCCAAGGGCTAGCTATCCCTAATTTTTGAAGTGACAGGCTAGAGTGAAGGCAATCTAGTCAACAACACCCATACTAATTGAAACATGAGATTTGAATCATTCTTATAATGCACAGCTGAGCCACTAGAGGGGAGGGGGTTCTTCTAGGAAAGTAAAGATAAATCAAAAACAGATTCATCACACTTACTAATAGGCAGGGCTATGAAGAAATCAGTAATACCTTGTCAAAAAAAAACTCCCTCCCCCAAGAGAAATATCAGAGTGGAATGAATTAACGAGACTGTATCCTGTTCCTATAAATTACTAAAATCCCACAAATTATAACAGAAGAAATATTCTAAAATGCATAGTGACATATTAGAAAGCAAAAATTTCCAAACTGTAACTAACATATTGTGAGGTATGAATATTCATAACTTCACTTTTTTACTTTATTAACAATCAGCACACATTTTTCAAGTTAATAAACTACAACACAATATCACACTACTGGATGATAATTACCAATATATTATCTTTTTATTTTGACTTTTTCTTGGATGATGGGACTCGGCAGAGAAGAAAGGAGAATAAAGATAATACTACTATAGACAGTCTGTCATAAAAAAAAAGTGAAATGCAACTACAAGAAAATAGATAGATTTCAAGGCATCAACAGATAACTTTATGGATAGTTAAAAGATAACCAATTATAAAAAAAAATAACCCATAAAATCAATAGAATATATGTAGCAATAATAATGAAAATATAATTTTCAAGAAGTAAATTTTCTGAAGGAAAAAAAAAAAATCTCACTGAATATTTGAGAATAAGAACTTATTTAAATTGATCAATTAAACTGCAACGAAAATACATATGGTGATAACCTTACAAGTTATTATCAAATAGAATAACTAGACTGAAGATGCTTTTATCTTTATATATGTTTTACAAAAAAATGAAATAATGCAAAAGTATGAATTAATAATCATCAAAATATCTAACAAAAAATCTTACCAATAGAAGCCAAGGCTATTACAGCCATAATAATCCAAGATACAACAGCGGCAACAAAATGGATCAAAAACACCATGACGAATGAGAGAACTGAAATTGAAAATTTGTTTACCATAAAAAAATAATGATGTTGCAACAGCAATTGTCATTAAAATAAATTTAACAGTGATTTTCATTTCAACAGAACTATTGTTGAGAATCAATAATGAACTTATTTTTTATATTGTTTCATAAACTAAAGGCCAGATCTTGTTCAACTACATATCTTTAACTTTTTCTCTCTGTATACAAATCTTGAGGATTTAAAATAATTTCCTGTGGAATTAAAAAAAAACGTTTTTTTTCTTATAGTATGTGAACTAACTACACACACAACTGACCTACATATAAAGTACAGTTCAATATATATGTTCATTATTTCAAATTTTTGGCAAAATATTCCAATGTCATGCAAATAATTAGCAATTTGTGTAGTGCAACAGTTCACTAAAAAAAAAAACCTCAAAAACCTGCCAAATGACTGAAAAAGCAAGTGTTTTGCTGAAAATTTTTCAATCATACAAAATAATTTAGTTATTCAACCTTTTTAGGATTTCTGCAGAAAGCTAACAAGTGCTATCTGCACATAATTTCTCTAAGTTAAAACTGGCAGACTAGAGGGACAATAACTAGTCAACAGCACCATCCACAAACTTTTTGCAGCAAGGGGATGCAAACCAAATATTTTTTTGTGTTTACATCTAGATATAAAGCTTTCTTGATATTTTCTGTTTTATTTTTAATGGAATTGATGTTTATTTTCGCTATCATTCAATATTTGCATTTTTTTGTATTTTAAACTCTAGATTATTGATGGGTCCATATGAACCCAACTGGCCCTTAACACATTTTTCTTTAATATTCATGCACCAAATTGCATGTGGGTTCACAATTTTGTTGATACAAGAATCCTAATAACATGGAAATCAAAGAAAAAAACATAAACAATATTATAATTTATTCCACTAAATGCAGCTAGGGTCTTCCTATCTACTTTACATAGAAACTGAGTAATTCAAAACAATATTTCTGGTCAGTTATTTAAAATAAGAAATTACTCAATATTACTGATTCCACTGGAAGTAAAAAGTATAAAAACAAGTTGATAACTTGAAGGTTAATTATCTGTCTGGCTTTATTAATATTTCTTTGTTTTATCAATCTATCACATTTATCTAATGTTTTTCTGTTCTAATTTGTCACTCAGCTTTATTATTATTTATTTTCTCTTTTGGCCTGGCTCTCAATCTAAAATAATGATAATGTTTTTCTTTTTCCTTATGACTAACATTTTTTTGCATTTTATCTGGATCTACAGCATCCTTTTCATTATTTTTCTCTTGATCTAGCAGTCAGGCTGTTTTGATCTAATAGTCAGTTGTTTGTTTATTCATATGAATGACACTTCATGCACAAATGGTAAAAACAACCAGGTCATCAACATTCATTAAGTACTCTCACTATCAACAATATGAACAAGATTTCTTGGATTATCTAGCCCTATTGTAAATAGTTTTGGTAACATACAGTCACAAGTAACAAAATTCAAAACTCCAGAATAAAGACAACATTATCACAAATGGCTTATCAGAGAAACTTACCTACAGATAGTATAAGCATTCCAAGCATTTCTTTCCAGCTTGCATACAGATCACCAACAACTTGTTGAAAAGTGTCAAAGCTGTTTAAGTAACTATAGAAACTATATATAATGTTCTGTGTAATGCCCAACACTGACTCAGGAACACATCTGTGCAACAAAGGTTTCCTGCAATTTAAAATAGTATTTTTACAAAGTTAAACATCAAGTAATATAAAACATAAATACAAAACTGACTAATGTCTTATTAACACCCTCACTATGGGTAGATCAAAGTGTGTATAACACAACGTTTTAAAGAGTGTTGTTCAAAATTTAATTACTACTTTATTATCATTGTGTATGAATAAACTTGGCATCAAAATGTAGTTAACAAATCATATTTTAATATTATATAGCTTTTAAGTTCTTAATTTTATATTGAAATATTTTTAAAATCCTCAATCTCCCTTAGTATGAGAAGTGTGACATTTACTCCTTTGGTCTTCCCTCTTCTTTAATATATTTACTAATTGTCAAAGAAGTATAAAACAATGTAAATTAGATATTATTCAGGCAAAGCAAAGTTCTTATAGCCTTCAATCTTATTTGTTTACAGAGCTATAAACTAGAAAATCTGACCCGCCTGTCACATCCTCACTTTCACAAATCACCAATAGTTCTATTACAATTTCTACCATATTATTTATAACCAATAAAACGCCAAGGTTTTAATCTGAAAAACGACATATTATATTATATTATTTTCTATACAGGGGATTGTGTATTTCTTTGTTAAATTTCAAATTTGTTCTCATGGGAATCACATCGATGAGCCTAGCTGAATTTTTAAAGGCTCTTATTACACAGTTAGAAAGCAGGAAAATTATGATAGTTATAGGATGTTGTTTGTTTTTTGCATGTTATTATTCTATGTTCTTAGGTTCATTATTTGATTAAATAAAAATTTAGTGTAGTAGTACCATTAGTTTAAAAAAGTAGGCTTAAGTGTCATTGACAAAAAAATAATAATAAAAAAATAACTCAGATAAGTACCATATTTCTTGTTTTTCATGTGTATTCTTTACTTATTCTTATAAAAGTAACTTAAATGTAAATATTAGAAAAATTATAACAAAAATTCTTCATGAGGTATGCTCATAAACAGCTCAAGCGTTACATGAGCTACATGTTCACTAAGTGATGTATGACTTGCGTGATGTATATTTAAGAGGTTTTAGAGTTATGCAAATGCAATTTCACAATTTTCAGATGAAGAAAGGTATTTTTAATCTTAACATAAAAATCAATTTGCACTCAGAGTAGTCAATACTTCAACTCCACATATTCCCTGGGTATTTTTAGTAAAAATACTTTATTAAAAATTTTGACTTTTTGTGTACAAAAGCCCTGTAATATTTACTGAAAGCTTGCAAAATTTTGTGAAGATGCACAAAATATATTAAAAGGTTAGGGTATGGAAATTCTACAGGCCAATTTGGGGTCATGCACTCTGCCAAACTGACTGAGTCCATAGTAAGAGAGTTAACAGGTAATGTTTGTTCTACCCATAGCAACTAGTGCTACCCACGTTAGTGGTCATTCTCATTCACAAAATAGCATCTGACCCATCATTGGAAAGTACAGCTGGCTACATTCTTGCACAAGGTGTAGCATTATAACTATCCTCCCATGGGCATAACAAGTATTATATCCAGAGAATGATACAGCAATAAAGGCAACTGGAAAAAAAGTCAGCTTAATAACTTTCCTTACCACACATTATAACACTGCTACACGGTCTATAGATCGATTGTTTGTGCTGTGACATTAAATCACGATAAAGCAGATAATAATTCTTGAAAAACCTTTCTTTACTGTCATATAAAAATTTACAGTGAGAAGAAAATAATTAAAATCTCGAACTTGCATTTTGTGTGATGCACTCAGATGCCAATGAGGCTTTTCACTTAATGTCAGGTAATCTGGGCATGAAAACCACAAAAACATTTGTTAAAATGCTATTTATATCAGTTGTGTACAAGATATCAACTGCTGTGATACTTAACACTTCATGCCAGCATGCAGCAGACAAATTATACAGTTGAGATTCAATTATTATTCTTACTGGAAACCAAAATGAATCTGTTAAGAAAGATTTGTTAAGAATCATTATCTGTCATATTGTGATGTAATGTTGCACCCATCTGATTTATTAAGCTAATTTACTTATTGCAACTACATCTTATCTCTTATTCTTAAGCCAGTCATGAGATCTTTTGCAAAATTCCTTACAAGTACACACTGACTAAGCCACTTTCAGGGTTCATACACCATTTTGAAAAATAAACTCCATGACGTTTACTCAAAATTTCATGGCATATTTCAGCCATCAGAATATACTTATACATTATCAGACAGATCAAGTAAAAGGTGAATTACAGTTTAACAAAATTTATTTCAAATTCTTAATCATTTTGCATTGAGTCTAATTACATATGATAAGCTAGTCTATTTCTGCAGTCATATAACATATGAAATGTTAACTGTATATATATATAAATATCAAACATTACTTTGATGTTTTAAGTTATGCCAGCTTACTGTTAAGTACAGTATCAAGTTTTCCTACCACAATTTGCTTTTCTTTGGCAGACCTTCAATAATTATTGCCTTTGCTATCAATGTTCTCGATTCCTTCACATTTTGTGTTATTTCTGCCTTCTCTGAAATACTATCTGCTGACTTTGTGAGAACATCTGCATCAGTTTCAAACCTCCTTTCTTATTTTTTAACTCCTCAAATTCATCCACTATATATTTTCTTTTTTCTCCCTTGCTTTAACTTTTCTTTTTAAACCTTCTATTCATCCAAATACATCATGTACTTCTGTCTATCTTCTGACACAATCAGTTCTTTATATATATATATATATATATATATTTCCAGAGGACCTCCAACTGATGCCTAGTGATCAAGTACAACTCTCTTTGCAACAAAAATCCTTTCTCTACTGAGGATTGGTCATGAGATAGGACAAACAACCCTTTCAATGTGTACTACAATTTTTCAAAGCCTTGTCTACCAGACAAAAGATCAAAATACAAGCTGTAAGTTCTTTATTTTTTTTACTGTTTAAGTTTTTTATATAAATACAGAAATGATCTTAAAATATAGTATTGCTACCCAATACAGGCCAAAATGTACCTTCATATTTTAATATTAAACTTTTAACAAATTCACATACTACATAAAGACAATAATATTTGCTATCATCAATATCATGCTGAGAACAATTAAATATTAAAATTAATTATCTTGAATGTCCAATTGTTTGGTTTCAGTCATCTTGTTAAGGCTTTCATCAAACATATGCCAATCTTCTTCATTCCCTTGTTTTCTCAACAGGGTTGAAAAGTAAGGAGCCAGTCCAAAAGAGCAAAAATATGCCATTTTTTCTCACCATATGAAAACTTTTTTGCTATATTATTATCTGGAAACATGGACTGAAACATTTCTGTAACCCCTTCATTAGAGAGGTAAGAATAGTGGTTTTGAACAGCATATAATGTCCACAACATTTCAGCTTTTAATGTGTCCGAAAGTGATACAAAACTGGCAGTTTCAGCCTTAGCTATGGATTTTTCTGGTGTTGCAGCTGTAGTATCCACTGATACTGATTGTCTGCAACTGAAGATTGTTATCTTTAATGTTGCTTCTTTGTCCTTATTGTCACCTTTGTCCAATATAATCCATGCTTTGTAAGTAGGGTGGGACACCCAGCTTTCTTTGAAACTGCACTTTCCAGGCATCTTTTTTTTGTAATACTTCAGCTGTAACGTCACTTTTCACATATTGAAATGTCAGTCAATTCAGCATCAACGATGTGTGTGTGTGTGTGTGATTAACAAACAATATGGATACCTGAGCTGAACATGAACTTAGCAAGTAAGTCAGGTTATCACAGATAGCCAATCAAGTTTAAGTATATTCTTGCCATGGGCAGGTCACAAGATGCAAGTCTGTCATCACACAACCAATATTTAATGAAGGAATGTCAGGGTTTTAAATATATGGGGCTGAGGATATTTCTACAGTAGGTGTCTGTGAATTGTTGGCAATAGATTCGAACAAAAAGGGACAGCACACAATTCACTTGTTTTAAAACAAATCAAACATATGTACAAAAGTTCTTTACACTATGAATATTACAATTGTATCTCAAACTCTAAATAATTCTCTCTTCTTGTCAAAAGACCACTTAGGTTGATTCAATTACTTTAGAATTTAATTGACATGACAAACTAATTTTCTCTACTCTTATCACAATAGTATCAGTGAATAATATACTTACACTACCCTGTGGGTTACCACAGTTGTATCATGAACTTCAAATAATTGTCTCCTTTTCATCAGAGTCCATATAGACAAGTTCAATTACTTTAGAATGCCCTTTGACAAGATGAATTATTCTCCTTATCTCTATTAAACTGTGAAACTTACTTTAAAATAGCACCTCTTAAGGTTAATCTCTCACACAGCAGCTAAATTCAAGTTTTCTTTCGCTAAATAATTTTCTGACTGAACTGCACTTGACTTGCACTCGTTTAGTCACCTATATTTATATGTTGTTCAATGAGGCCTCGAACTTTCTCTAAGTTATGCGAGCGGCACTGTAAGGCAACAATACTCACTTCAGGTAATGAGAAAAATTCTGAAGATTTGAGTAATGTGACATCAACAATATTAGTAAAGCCTAGACAACAATGTAATTGCAAACACAATGTACAACTCGTACAGAGCTACGTAACAAAATACATCACAAATAACACTTTTAACTCTTTCAGCTCAATCCCTAGAACAGACCTCATAACCATTTTGTGCTTGTTATAGCTTTCATGTTATAACATATAAATTTATAAGCGTATATTAACGAAATTTGGCAGATTTTCAGTAAACATTGCAATGTTTTCATAAGCAATGTTTTTCCCATGCCTTTTTTTTCTTTTCACATGTTGCCTATCCAACATGCAAAGTAATTTTCATTTTAAGATTAAAAATACTTTTGTGCATCAGAAAATCTTCAAATTTTACATGCGAAATCTTTATAATTTCCAGATAGCTATCAAAATCAGAAAATCTTCAAATTTCACATGCAAAATCTTTATAATTTCCAGATAGTTATCAAACGTTTCTTAAGAAAACTTTATATTTTATCTGTTATTTTTAGTAACAATTCTCTGTGTGGGTTTGGTCGATTTGACCAATCTTGTAACCATGTAAAAAAAACTTGGAAATAAATATAAGTTATGCATTTTTCATTCTAGAATGACTACAAATTATATCAGAAGAACATAAATGTTTAGACTAAACAGCTTAATAATATTAGTAATATCATAATATTATACATTTATGTATATTTATTATTTTTATTATGTTGACCTTTCAGCCGTACCTGACTAACAATACAGAAGTTACAGTGATGCAGCACATGTACACTCACATTTCCGTATCCAATAATATAAAACTAACTTTTAGTCTTTACAAAGTGACCTGTCATGGCTGTGTTTTAGTAGATTAGTATTTTGCACGTGGAGGATATGAAGTAAAATTTTTTTAGGTTTTACATATACAATTGCATAACCAAAAAATCATAAATTACTATATCAATACCACAGAATTCCACTATCATTTATCAAGCTTAGTAACTAAGCTGTATTTCAGTCTAAAAAAAATATGAAATTTTGAGCAGACTAAAGATACAACCTACCTCCTTGAAATCTTGATTCAAAAGAAAGAAATGGCATCCAAACACATTAAAATGGCTGAGAAAACCACTAGTGGGTCATTCTGAGCTTCCAATTCATTATTCATGTCACATGTAGAAGTAAGTGTTTCCAAAAATGGAAAGATGTGGGTGGGGTATGAAACTATAGACTTAGTATTTTGACATCTCAAAAATCTAATTTGAACCAGTGCTGCATTCAACATACCACGTGACATACAAAAATCAATGTTTAACTGTGTTTTTTAATATTTACTTTTGAATTAAGAAATTGAGTAAGGTATAATATTAAAATTTGAATTATAATCCACAGTTTGATACGAAACTTCTTGACATAAATTCTTGAAATAGTAGTTCAATAAAATTTTGAATGTGAGTCAACAAACGAGATGACATGGCCTTTCACCAGTGACCTGTCTCGACAGGGTTAAAACAATCCATCTTCAACACTCATTAAATAATAAGTTACAAAATAAACTAAATAATAACACTTACATTAGACAGTCTTGGAAAACTAAGTTGCATGGGTAACTTTTAAACAATTGTGCAAGTTATCTTTAAAGTTTTTCAAGAAATCTTGGACTTTGTGTGCAGCTTAGTGATTATCAGTTTTTTTAAGCATACTTACTTATCAATAAAAGATACTTATTAGAAAATACAATTTAACTTTTTAGTCATGTAAAATATTTCTTGGAGGCCAGATGGAAAACATTTGAGGCATTATTATGGTTTCTAGGTATCTGGTGTCCTGTCACACTAGCAGGAAAAATATATAGCTTGGTTAGCATCTATATATAAAGAAATTAAAACTAAGGAAAAAATTTAAACTACATATGTTTTTAAAAACTGATCTGTAAAAACACAAAGTAAATAGTACTTACATAGCATATACTGGAAGTTTAGGGCAAGGACCTAATCCACTGTTACTTGTTATACCTTTACCTTCTCCTGTTAAATTAATATCACTACAGGTATCAAATTCATCTATATCATAACGATGAAGTGATGATCCTGTGTCAAGTTTAAACTTCTGAAGGTCCACAATGTTGGATAATATTCTATCAGGGCATTTTTTCACACAAATCATCAGTGAATGTGAAAGGTCTGTCACATCGAAGTAAAACAAATACCTATTATACATAAAAAAATAAACATGGAACCAACACTTTTTCACAAAACATAATATCAACTTCATTATCTCAGTTTTGGATAATTTGTTACTAAATGTTTGGGAAATAAAGAATTTTAGGTTTACTATACATGACAATAAACTGAACTACTGTTAAAGTTATAATACAAATCTTTATGACTGAGAGTTGCTTAGCATTTATGTTTAGTCTTTCTTTAAAAAATGAGAAACAAACACTACATCTAACAAGACCCTTATCAACAAACTTAGATGAACGTAGGTATTAAAGACTAATACAGTCTTAAGTTAATATATAAAATGCACTAATAAATACAGACAAAGCAGGAAAAGCTAAATGTGTAGCAATGGATCAGTTTAGTAATTAAATTTTTCTTTGCTTACCTTTGACAACTCAAAAGCCACAATTACTAATTTCAGGTTTAATAATTTTTTTTCATGTACTTAAAATACAACCATTTTAATTTTCCATTTATTCTTAAAATTGCACCTTTGCTCTCTACAAAGAGGTCACTAAGAAGAAAACAACCAAAAGAAGTAAATTTTCTAAAACGGCACAGCTTTATTAAAGAACTAAAAAAAAATAATTTTCCTGTAAATATACAAAAGTACAAAGTAAAGTAAACATCGATATGTACAGAACTTTGTGGATAATGCCATTCATTCTGATAAAATAGTTACTGGGAGGTAAAATGGTAATTAATGTGAACTTCTGATGTTGTATTTTTAGAATATTAAGTTAATTGCACTCAAACAATCTACTTAAATAACAAAAAGTAAGATTTAGTGAAAAGATGTACATTAATTAGACATAAGTTGCCTGAATATATAAAATAGAACTTTCTGAGCAGTAAAGAAAATTGAAACTCCACAATGAAACAAAGTATTTTTTAAAGTTTTTCACAATAAAATTATAGAAATTCCAACCCAATTGTGACAATAATCCAGTTAGACTGAACTCCAATTATAATAACCCCTGCTTTCTTCCATTCAGTCACTCTTCTATCCAATTAGCTAACTTATACTCTACACTTTCAGAGATAATTCTTTTTAGAAACTTTATATGTGGCACCTTGTCAAAAGATTTCTGAAAATCCAGATACACCAAATCTACACCCATACCCTATGATACATAAACAGTAACCTTTTCAAAGAATGTCAAATTATTTGTAAGGTAAAATTTTCCCTTACCTTAGTAAAACCATGTTGACTATCCAATACAATTCTAAACTTAGTTAAATGATTTTGCAAAGCATCTTTTATCAGATTTTCCAAAACATTTCCCATAACTGATGTAAGACTAATAGGCCTATACTTACTGGGACAATTTTTGTCACATCCCTTGGAAAAAGAAGTGACATTAGCTAACTTCCAATCCTCTGGCACTTGCCCACTATTCACAGACTTACAAAAAATAGTAGCAAGTGACTAACGTATCCAATCCTTAACCTCTTTCAAAACCCTTGGCAAAATATTATCTGGCCCAGGAGCCTTACTGTTCTTTAAATTGCACAATGTTTTCTTAACCAGCTCAGAATTAAGATGTGGAATATTGCTTAAATCTTTGTTAGTAAAAACTGAAAAAAATCAAAATTTAATAACCCAGCCATCTCATAATCATCAGATATGAACCTTCCTTTATCATCCCTCAAGGGTCTTACCCCCATCCTAACATTTTGTTTACCCTTAATGTATTTAAAGAAATCCTTACTGTTAAATTTTACATTTTGAGCTAACCATTTTTCATACATCCTTTTTGACCTTCTAATTTCCGGTTTGACCAACTTTCTTGATCTTCTAAATCTCCCACCACACCAGTCAATTTAAATTTCTTAAATTTGATATGCTTTTCTTTAATTTTATCCCTTATACCCTTTGTGACCCAAGGATGAGCTCAGTTTAGTCTTTGCAATCTTATATATAATTTGTATTGTCTGTATGAAACAAAGAGTAAAAAAACAGAAGAGATATTTTACACTAAAGAGCATTTCTTCAACATCATTTCAACAAATATGGTGCTTGAACAATTAAATAATGAAAGGGAATGTTAATATAGCCTTATGTCTAAATACAATACTGTATTTGTTATACCAGCTTGAAAATATGCGAAATAGTAAAACAAAAAAAAATCTTCATAAATATATGTTGAAAAATGCTTTTCATATCAAGTCAAGCATTTAAGTAAGGAGTCATATTTTGTGTTTCACTTTTCCCTTATTCTGAAACTAATCATTTTTTAAAAGTCGCATTACTCACGGTTTGTCTGTCATGTCCAATCCAGAATAAGACAAATTTCCAACAGGCTTATTATCAACTCCACAGATATTCCCAAAGCTATCATATCCATACATCAATCTTAATGGGTTACCAGTAACAAAAGCAAAAGCTGCTATAAATATCTGTAAAAACAGAGAGATATAGATGTTAAATGTAAAATATGCAGAGAAAACAAAAAACAACAAAAAAACATGATATCAATCAAATACTGGTTAAAGTATATGAAAGGAATCATCGCACTGAAAAAACTGTAACAATATTTGCTTATAATAGTTCATCTCTAATTTTAGAAGTATGGCTAAAATACAATTACACACAGTTAAAAGAAATTTTTAAGTATCATACAGCATCCTGTGGATCTAAGTTCTGAAACAAAATACACATCATTTCTTACATCTGATACTAGAAAAAAAAAGGGAAAGGAGTGAAAGATGTAAGATTTTAACTTCGAAACAACACATTCTCTTCCTCATACACCATGCATAGTATAAAAAAGTTTTCACACCCCAAAAATTTTCAAGGCACTTATAAAATCAACACAGAAAACATTAAAGTAGTTATTTTAGGCTTCAATTTATAACATGATACATCACTACAAATCAGAAATATCTATAGAATGTCTCTTCCTGCCACTCACTCAACTGTGCATACTGAAACAGTACTGTAAGTATTTTTTTTATCACATTTAATGATTTAACAAGCTTAAATGATTTCTAACACAGAAACATTGCCTATAGCCATCCATGCTCCCAGCAAAGGATTTCTGGTAAGACAAGAGGTTATTGTTTCTGATATAAATTAGGATAACTTATAAACAAAATATTAATTCAATCCATACAGTTGTAATCTTTAAAAAATATTGATTTCAAAAATAATAATCAAATGTTTTATATTTTAGTTTCAATAACTGATATATTACAATGTTATATTTTCACAAAAATCCACATAAACATGCATTGAAGTTCTTTTAAGTTAATTTTAATTATCATAGCACAGAAGTTCATTAGGTGATGACAAAAAAGTCAATTATAAATTTATTCTGTACAAGTACCACTTTTAATATTTGGTGATATGCAGAAAAGCTGAATGCATGTTTGTTCTGTATATACTGAATTATATCACATAAAAATATTTCAATTAACATACATGAATAAATTTCATTAAACATTATAATCTACAGCATCTTTAGTTAAAATTATGTAAAGGGATTCAACAAGAAATATTGAAACAGATAAAATCACAATTTCACCTGAATCTTTTTAAATAATAATTTTCCAATAACTACAGTAGACAATTTAGACATGATAAATATATATAATGAGTGTTAATTACTTACCAATATAACCCAAAATATGACAAAAACCACAAGGAAAATAACATCTGTACAGCCTTGGGACTTTTTATTCTGTAAGAAAACAGACAATAATAGCACTTTACGTATATGTATGTAACAGTGCTACCACTGTGTTTTTAGTAAAACAAAAGTATATGAAATGTATAAAGTTTGCATCAGCATGCCATATATATATATATATATATATTTAAATACTATAAGGAAAACTGATTAAGAAATGATTGTTGGTGTAGATATCTAACCTCAAACTATTTCTGCACACACACACAAGAATAACATGTTCATAATAATAATACAACAAACATTACATTTAATATTTGAGATAGCTCTTTAACCCGATGACCACCGGCTACTAACTTTCTGAGTAGCCAATGCAAGTCTTGCTTTATTTCATTTCAACAATAAAACTAGTGGATGAAACTGCTTGAAACTTCATAAGAACTTTCATAAATGCATGTAGTTTGAGAAACATAAAGCCTGTTACTTTTGATAAATTTAGTTATTTTGCATTATGATCTTTAACATCTTGGAAAATTACATTAGGAAATGGTATTTATAAGAAACGACTACGATATTTATATTTGTTCCAGATTTAAGCTTATTACTTTTTGTTTTAATACATCATTTTGAAATCCCCAAAAAATTGTATCGTCTACAAAACACAAATTTTATCTATTTTAAATTTTTTAATAATCATGTACTCTCCTTATGGTGTCAAGTAATATACAAGACTTAAAAATAATATTTGTAAATAAACCTAAACAATAAATGAGTATTTTTATTTTTAACTAGGATTTCATGTTTATATATGTACATAAAAAACATTTTAATTTTGTTTCATAAACGTATATTTATTTCAAGTTTATGTTTCATGGCAGCCATACTTTTGTTTACTGTGCCAAATAAATCATGAGGTTTGCAGCGTGAACTTTGTACATTTGCCATAAACTATCATGCCTGTAGGTGGTCACTCTCATTCAGTCCAGCACAGGCACATTTCAACATTACTGTAGATATGATAGTAAGAAAGCTTTTTGGTACTTGAATATCATTTCTTTGAACTTTTAAACAAGTTTACTTCAACATAAATCCGCGTATGTTGTTTCATTATACAAACAAAACTAATTGCCACTACTAGCACATGTGTGTAACAATTTACAGTACAGGTAGTTTGAATAACACCACATGACCCTAATTACTCGATACATCCTGTTAGAAGAGATTACCAAATGATACAGACACCATAAATTACAAAGAAAATTACTTTACAGCACTTAGAAGATTAGTCCTGGTCACATTCCTCTCATTACAGGCAAGATTTATGTTGGAATGCGAAACTTAAGCTCTTCAGTGCATTGACACCCCAACTGTGAGAATGTCATAGCTTCCCTGTACTACTGAAATGAATGTATTTAGTCTGTTTCACAACCAACATATTGGTTTTATTATTGTCACTTGTACACTGAGTTTTAAACCTTTTGCAAAATAACAGAATAAACTTTATATATATCAGTTAGACTGTGAGGTCTTACTACAAAGTAAAGATTGTAAGAAGGAAAACTATAAAATTATGTGGTACTGGTACTAGTAGTATTACGTACAAATGACACAAGTTTATCATTCTAAATACTGAATCATATTACTATTATTATTATGAACTAAATATAAAATTATGCTAAATTACTGAACTTAAAACTACAAATTTAAATGCAAAAGAATATAAAAAATCATAAACTCTTTCAGTTCAAAGTGCTAAGCCTAATTCATGTAAAAACCTTCAACTCGCCACTCGATAGCTCTTAACCCTAACAATTGTGGATGAACTTCTTTCCTAAAAAATATATCTATTTTGAGTTAATTTTTCAATATAATGATTAATATAAATAGATATACAATGCAGCATGACTTAAGATACTATATAAGAATAATAAAAGTCACGTACATCCCATGTAGTTTTTCCAGAAGCAAGTTTTCTAATGCTTATAGAAAAGCACTATTGGCCAATACTAAATGCAACCTCTACATAAACTGGCAGTTACTATAATAAGCACCACTCACATTTATATTATAAAATCCAAAGAACAACGTTTCATCCTGTGCTTTCCTTATCATCCTATGATTTGTCAAACGTGAAATACTGTGATTGGAATAACATGGTACTGAAATTGATACCTTCAACTAGGATTGGCTAAAAGTTTTACAACTGAGGTTTAACACGCCCACACACTGTTTTATAAAGAAAACAGACTAGAAAAAGGTTTAGATACCAATCATAGATGGCAGGACCAATGCTGAAGTGAAAGGAAACATTTTTTTTTTAATTTTAAAAACAAAAAATTCTTCTTAGAGTGTGCTTATTTACAGTCTAAAACGTATTTTAGGATTTTTTTTCATTAAATTCCTCTTTAAACTTCATTAAATAACACAATTTTGTACAAATAATTGAATGTTATGCTACTATTTACAAAAATAAAATCTGAATTCCAATAAAAGATAAGTTCACTATAATTTTTTCAAATAAAAATGTGATTTTGCCCTCACGATAAGACAAAATGGCCATGGTAGGTAAGGGGTTAAGGGCTGGGGTCAAGAGGGCACCAAGGAAAGCCTTACATGTCAAATTTCACAGTTTCATTAAAAATACTAACTTTTTGTAACTTTGCAAAATTTATTTAGTATAATCCTCAAGGAAAAATAAGATGTTTGAACTTTAACTGCTGTGCAATTCAAATTAGCACTGCTTGTAAACACAGCCCTTAAAAATTTTTTTTTAGAATTTTTCTGGCCATCCCAAAGTTATAGGTTTATATTTACCCAGACTCAGACATCCCTTACAAATACTTATCCAAGGTTTTGTTTCTCACATGAATTCTACTTTCCTCTCAGTGGCTATTTGCAAGAGATCTTTGTTAAGAGGCTTTTATGATACCACAGCAAGCGGGTTGAAAAGTAACTGATAAATCTTAGTCTCCAAACAAAATAGAGCCAATAGCTAAAAACAAGATTGTATAGAAAACATTATCCGTTTATGTCACCATAAAGTAAATAACACTTGGGTAAGTTGTAAAGTATAATTTCCAAAAAAAATGAGCAGTGGAAAACAAAGAATTCTAATGTGAAATTTACAAAAATTAGAAACAAACACAATTTTTTTTTTAACTATGTTTTCATTCATGATGATCTTTGTGTTATATTATGCATGTTTTAAAACTACTACTAGAATAGTCTTATACGAGCAAACAAATTAAGGATATTTACTGTTATTGAGTATGGTAAGTTTAGGAGTTCTGCAGCTGCAAACTATTAAGATGACAGAAAAGGCTTTTTTTTTAAATGTGTATTAGTAAGTTTATTATTACTCAAACAACATACAAAATCTTCTTAATTATTGAAAAAAACTATAATTATTATGGAGAAATTGAGCTTGACCAAAAATATATCGTATGTCAGTGCAGGCCTAGGATATGAGTGCAAGTTGTATCTCCACTTGTCAACACTTTTGCTGTTCATTAGTGTTTTATGTCATTTCTGTAGCTACATAACCATTTCAACTGGTAAAGATAAATATCAAATACAAATAATTGATGTAAATAAAACAAGTTTGATCTTGTCAATTATATGAAATGGAACTTTTTGTTTTATTTATTTTTTCAAATTTTTAATATACTTTCTTTGTATGCAAGAGCTTTTATGAACAGACAATAAAATGAGCACGCAGTTATTAAAAAAAGGTACAACAATTATAATTTTATTCAAAAAATAACTATTGAGTAAATTTACATGATTTTAGGTAAGAAAAACTAAAACTCTAAGATGAAAGGAAGTACTTCTTTAATCTTTTTAAAAACAGTGTTTCAAATAAAAATTTCTGAAAATTCACAGCCTAAAATATGATACAAATACTAAACCAAATTATATAATTTTTACAAGCATTGATTACATGTTATGTAGAAAGTACTTACTAATTTTATGTAATCATGTTAACCATTTTAAGTGTGAGAATGAAACAAATGAGTGATACAACTTCATCCTGCTGGTCTGGATAGGATTAATAGAGATGCATGAGTAACAAAATCATTCTTGTGACATTTTGGAAAAGTGTATGGACAAAATTTTAACCACAAAAAAAGTACAAAATGGCTGCACAGATATCCCAGCATGTGCACAGATATGCCAGCATGTGCACAGATAGATCAAATTAATCCTTATAGTAATCACTGTGAAATGTTGGAAATCTCATTTAATAGTGAAAATGAAAATCATAAAGGAAACATAAGAACTTAAAGTGAAAAAGACAACAGGATATTTGTTGGACTCATTGTGTCAAAGTAAGAATGACATATTTCACAATGATATTGATAGATATATACAATTTATATGGATACTTTCTACTGGTGGAGGAGGATTACATAAACCTCACAAGAGCTCTCCAAGTACGAGTTAACAAAATGTTATGACATTACATAATAAAAGGGATCGGGGATTTAAAATCTATTACAATAAAGTATCAGTATATTCTTCATCTAGATGTTAAATAGCATTATTACTTCTTGAAATATATTTTTAGTCAGTTTTTACACTTTTTGTTCTTTTCAACAACTTAGGGTGGAAATATCTTGAAATTGACTTGTCTTAGGTACACAGATCAAACAAGTTCAACTTTGAAGTTCAGATACAGGGCTTGATTTTGACAGACATCTAAGACAACTAAAAACTTCCTCGGATGACCAACTTAAACCCCTGTATTGTCTTTCGAACGACTAGCACCCTGGAATAGACCCTTACTCACAAACCATCTCAGTGTATTTTACACTTATCCATGCCCACACTACACATGTAATATTGACTCTGATCTTTGACCAAAATCATGAGTAACTTCACTAACTACAAACTCTAATACCCCCACAAAAATATCTTTTGGTCAATTTGTTTTGTCTAAAAAGATTGTACTTTGCACAAGAGAAATGTTGGTACAATCCACCAAAAGGGACTGAAAACATTAGAAGTTTGCTTTTGTAATTGGCTAATAATGCTGTTTTAGTCACTAAACTTTCTATCATGGACAAGCTGCATACAAATTTTGTATGGAGTACAACTGAGAGTGAACGGCTTGATAACATCATACAGTGCATACAGCTCAGTTAGTTACATTACCACTTTTTTTTCACAAGTTACAGCTCTTACAGTAAGTAAGATTTATCTTTAAAACAGGCATGACTTTTTGATCACTTATACAATCATTCTTAAGTACACAAGTTTTAACAGTAAAATGTTTAGTATTTAAAATCAACATTCAATCAATGTAAAAAAAATTGTAAAATTGAGTTTACAATATATTCTAAAACAGGCACGACTTTTTAATCACTTATGAGATCATTCTCAAGTACACAAGTTTTAACAGTAAAACGTATAGTATTTAAAATCAAAATTCAATCAATGTAAAAAAATTGTAAAATTGAGCTTACAATATACACACTTAATCAGTAAGTGAACTTAAAACTACTGCATGATGTTTATTATGTATATATATATATATATATATATATATGGGTGGGGAGAATTTGTAACATAAATTAATGCCGATAACATGAATATTTAGTGAGATTAATTTCTAGCATAGATGCTTGCGACAATAAAACTAACATGAGCATCCCAACTGCTTACCAATAAAACCTTTGGCATGAACTAAAATGATCAAATTTACAATACCAAACTCAGAATTTTCATTGTTAATTATCACAGTTGAAACACTGATTCCCTTTTGATTACACATGTATAGGCCTAAGGCTAACATTAGACAGACACCACCAATAGAGCCTAGGAAGTACAGAAGACTTAGCTATCACGAGAAAAGTGGGAAAATCCATGAATTAAACAAACAGAACATAATAACTGTAACTGCAAACATAATTTTATTAAAGTTTTGATCAGTACAAAACAAAATAACAATAAATAAAATAAGGCTAGCTTTGCCTCTCTTCAGATCAATACAAACTACAAGTATGAATGCTCTCAGGCATTGTGTATGTATTACGGTATAGTAGTATGTGTTAGAGTCTAGAATGTAAGTCTAGTCTTACTAAAGGCTGTACTTTATGGGTAGGCTAAGTTTGCTATTCAGTTTAAAAGTTTTACAGGTCATCGACTTGTTTCCTTAAGATACTATGTAACATTAGCATGGTTTGGCCTTATTTTTTCCAATGTAAAGAAACTTCCCGGGAAATAAGATGTCAAAAATTAGTTTAATAAAGATGCAAAATTGCCAACTAAACATTAATTGTATTTTTTGGAAATAAATAAGATATAAAAACAACAAAATTATTGTAATTGGGTCTTTTTAAGGGTCTTTGTACAGCAATATTTTCATAATTGGATCTTTTTTGAGGGTCTATGTATTTTTTTGGGGGGGCAACCAATGCAGTCTCCCAGACAACATGAAAATTTCCTTAAAATCAAGCCCAGAGTTATCATATTTTATCCAAAAAGATATTTCTACTCTATATGTTCATGATGTCAGAAAAATACATAAATTCAAGAAGTCTTAATATAAAATGATAAAAACCCTATAACTCGAGTGCTTTCGAAAGATGGACCTTCCTTCTTCAGTTTGCCCCTGAAGAAGAATGGTCTACCCTATACAAGTATACTGTGGGCAGTCTTCAGAGGATAAATAATTTCATATGTATAAAACAACTCTCTGATGCTTATTTAGCACTGGCCAGAAAATTTAACAGCAGAACCCTAACAGTGTTGAAAAACAATTGTATAGCTACAACCTTTGTATACTAATTTTAATTATATATATTTTTAATACTTTGAGTAACGTAGCCATTCATCTTTGGTCATTTACTTCTAAAATGGGTCTTATATGATCATCCAGAAAAAAAAACAGTAAAAGCAATAAGTTATAAAATTAAAGTGGTTATGTTTACTGATAAAACAATTTCATTATACAGGGTGTTCCAAAAGTTGGTTCCCATTGTAACAATGAGAAAATAAACATGCTTTGCTTGTTTTTTTGCAAAAAGTTTTAGATAATAGCACTGAGCATTAATAAACATGTGGAGGTGACATGGATTGAATATCTTCAATAATGTAATGCACTGATTTTGAGGAAGGATATCTTGAGCATATTCCATAAATTTATACCAATATTCAGCCTATGGCAACTGATTCTTGGGACACCCTGTATTATCTAGAGTTTAAGCTATTGTTAGGTAATATATTCTCATGTAATACTAATGAACTCACCTCTTGTACACAACAGATAGACATGGCTAGTGTTTTCACGTTTTCTAGAATATTCCCCTCCTGTATGAAAAAACAAGTTACAATTAATATTTATGAGAGAGAGAGATGTATAGTTAATGAAAATTAATTATGCCTTCAGTTTTCATTATAAATTACATTATGGGAAACATCAAAACCTGGAGAAAAAAATCTGAAACCTCTCCCATGCTCATGAGTTAATATCACATCATCAACAATTACTTCATCTCCTGAATAATTTTCTATTTTTTAAATTCAATCTTAACTCTTTTACTACTAAATCAGTGGATTACACTGACCAAGTGACCATTAGTTTCCATACTATAATGTTTAATATGTATCATGTATCTTCACAAACTTTTCAAGCTTTTAGTAAACATTACAAGTCTTTTGTGGACAAAAAAATCAGACCTTTTAATTAAATATTTTTATTAAATTACTTCCATTGAGAGTTTCTATTTCTAACCTTTTCACGTGTATTTCCTATGTTTATTTTACTGTTAATGGCTGAAATAGAAACTTTTCCATCATAAAGCAATGAGCCACTGCACCTGCCTTTAGACTGTTTACATGACACCCAAAATACACCACTATCAGAAACAAATAAGCTTGAGCAGTGCATTACCAGAACTTCTTCCAGAGCTTATCGTAATCCCAACTCTGAGAATACAGTGGGAGAGGATTTATCTGGTTATTATAGTAAAGAAATTGCAATGAGAATTGTCTAAAGTAATAAAAGTGTGAGAAAATGTTTATGATACAACTCCATACAATGTCTGGGCAAATTCAATGAACTTGGTAGGTATTTGAATGTTAGTTATCCTCCTGGGGTAGTCAAAATTTAGTGGTATAGGTGTACAATGTGCATAAGTGCTTATGAATATGTATCTATACATGTTATTACTCTTTATTCATAAATGCTTAATTTTTAGTTATTTTTCTTAAAACCTAATACAATAAATAAAAAAAATATATAAAAAAACAATGATTTCTAGTACTTACAATCAGTGTTTCCGCTAACCTGGATGGCCACCCAACAACTAATATCAAGAGTGTGCCACACACTTCATTATTCCAGCCACGCTCATCCTCAGTAATGGTGAGGAGTCTCAACATGTTGTCAGCCTTAATGACCCAGGCAGTTGATAGGCCTAAAGCCCAAATAACCAACTGTTAGCATTGCAAATGAGCCTAATGATCCAATAGGGTTGATGGTCTAAAAATAACTGGTAGCACACATCCGCACATTGCCTTGATACTGGTGCACGTTAAAAAATTCATTCCACACATGGATTGTAAAAGTTAGAGGGAATATTGCTTACAATGTTAAAAAAAACTGATTTGTATTCGAGTGTCGTACTTACTAAGCCATGCTGTAAGCCTCATTTATCTCTTAAGTGGAGGGAGAAGACAAATTAATTATTGTAGATTTCAAAATTACTATACTGTTATACATAAACCACTGTAATTTACCTGGCTTTCTAACAAAACCATGTGTGGGTTAAAAAAAAAAATAATTTCTGTTCAGAGCAATGACTTACTTAACATCTAAATTTATAGTAATATACATGTTTCTCCTTCAAGCCAATTACAAATGACTGTCAGGTTTATATAACTTGAAATGTACTCTTTCTATTGGTTGTAAACACATACTTAAAAGAAGTAGGTGTGAACAGACAAGAGGTTTCAAAAGAACGTAGTAGTGAGCGAGACTACCCTCACAGATATGTAAAAAGATGAGAAGTTCTTATTTTGTATTATACCTTGTAAATGTCTGGAGTTTGAGTTTCTAATTCATTAACCACTACAGACATAATCAAATATAAACTGGGCAATAAGACATGAAGATATACCATATGACACCCAAAACAGCATATTTGGCATTTATTCTACTTTTTTTTTAAATTAAGAAATTAAAACATATATCAAAATTTAAATTATAAATAAAAACACAATACGTGTAGTTGCAGGTATTCTACTGTATTACCCCTAACTATTCCCCCTCGTTGCATAAATCAGCAATCAATACTGGTAACTGATAAATGTCACATAAGCCATGATTTTTCTGCCTTCTTTTGCCATAGCAGCAAACTTCAAAGATGCTTTGGCAGTAGTGGTCAAAGGAGGTTACTCAGTACATGGAAGGACTGCTTCCTAGGATTTTTGGACACTTATAAACAATGATTACCATATTTACTGCAAAAGTGAACACTGATATTTATAGCAGTTAAAAATAAATAGGCTATGTTTACTACCACTTATTATAGATATATTTGTTTACAATAGAGGTATTATCATATGACCCAATTAGTTTCTAATTATTGCCCCCTTTGCAGTTTGGAATGCCCCCGGGAGCGTTAAAGAGGGGCAATACGGTATTGTCAAGTCACTAAAAAATACAACTTTTGAAAAAATAAAACATTTTAATGTTTTGAAGTAACTCAAAAGCATTTTGTCTCAACTCCTGACTCATATCAAAACCCTAAGACAATACTCTTACTAATCAAACCACCTAGTTCATAACAACATGGATAGTGCAAGCTTTCATGTGGTATCATATTATAAAAACATTCCTATAGTTACAAAAAGTCATTCTATTTACTTTCTCTAATAAAGGAAAATTCTTCCTGAAAACACACATCACTATGAAGAATTCAACTGATCAGACCAGCAAACAAACTAACCAAAATAAGACATTTCAAGCAGCTGAAATAACAGTTTAATTACACTATTTCTCTTTTGCTTGCTAAAGCATACTCCAATCAATTGAATTATATTTGCTAAGTTTTAGTAATCATTAAGAATTCTGCTTATCCACTGCTTCTTCTCTTTTGTTAAGTTTCTCTAGTTAAACACAATGGCTCTGTAACAAAGTTAGATCACTTGGATATTTCAATAAGTCTTAACTTTGCCAAGTTCTTGAAACTAAATTTTTCTTTTTTTACAGTGGCTGTTTAGGGGTATGATGTTTTCAGAACATACAATATTTAGGTGTCAAAAAATACACATAATGTTAGGTTAATGTCATGATATCCCATGGTAGGTAGCAGGATGAATAAGTAATACTACATGCCTGTCTGTGTCCTCATTTTAGCCTCCACCACAGTATTTATCTAATAATCTTTTATGTTGTCCATCCACTAAGATTTGTGCCCTGCCTTTGATGGATCAATTTCTTAGAAAATATACCCTTCATGACAATCCTTATTATAATATTCTTTCCTTGTATTGAGATATTTCAGAAGTATATTATTTTTTATGATCTTGACTTATGCAAAGAGGTGATAATGCAATGCAAGGTGCTGAAAAACCAATCCAATGTCTTCCACTTCCTGCAGAAAATTTTGCAAAATGCTCTAAAGCACTAAATCTGATAACCTTCTTGACTCCAAAAGAACACTTCTTTCAGCAAACATACATATCATAATCATGGAGAAAAAAAAAAAAGAGTTAATGCTTAGAAGTATAAAGCATTGAATTTGTGATACAAAAATTTGAAAATTACTTCTTGTGTAAGGAGGACTTAAATATTGTTAGTAAAAAGGGTTTAGGTATGACAACTGAAAAACACTTATATCTACCAGCTAAGTATTTAGTTACTATGGTAAAAAAAAGCTTGGAGAATTTTAAGAGAAAGTTCATTTTCACATAATTTATATAGATATTATCATGATAAACATTCCAGTTTAGAATTCTAACAAAAAAAATGTTTTCATTAAATAATAAATTTTCAACTAGGCTCCCAAATATATTACTCATGCTATTTAATGAAGAATTTCTAATATTTTCATTCACCAGACTGACAGACTACCCATAGGGGGACTGTTCAAAACAACCCACTAATTTCTTTGAGCTCCAGATAAAACAAATCATGTGGTTTATATTTTATTAATAAACGTAACACCACTTAAAACACCATGATTATTTATTATTTCAGAAACAGATATTTTGCTACATGTTTCAACCACATTTGTTTAGGCTATCATCAGCCAGAATGAAAACAGATGAGAGAACAGTATATATATACTATATTTAAGAAACTTATTCCGATAACACGTGGTACATGTCAATTTTAAAATGTTCTATTTAAATAAAACACCACCCAAAAAATATCTATGTGTATATAGACACACAAAAGATTTGTGTAATTACTCAGAAAAATTAGTTTGGTCTCATCCTATTGGATGCAATGGTTATAGTTAATAACATGGTCTGCTACACATGGTAAAGTACACTTTTTGTTTTTTTACTGCAAGTCTGTATTCATTCAAATGACATTTTAATTTGCAAATTTTTCTACATTAATACTCTTTTGCATTCACATTTTATTTTATAAATTCTGTTTTGGTCCAAAATTATCTATCAATGAAGGAAGATTATCAATTTTCTTAATGGATCTATAACTGATTCGGTAGTCTATTTATCTATTTTAAGATCTTAGAGAAATAAGATAGGCAAACAACGTTATCTTTCTTTTTTGTACAAACAGATGAATGTGTTCCAAGATCATAATATTACAAATTCATTTTATTGATATTTTGTTTTTCTATGGATAAACATATTTGCAACACTGCAGAGAATTTAATCTTAACTTAAGTTTTCCCTGTTATCTAAAATCAAAATCCGTGTGGATTCAAGCTTTGTCATCAACAGTCATAGAATATGCTATTATAATTATAATTGTAAATGCAATACCCATACCATCAAAATTCAACATTTTCACTGAAAGTTTCAAGAGATATATGGGCCTAAACCCCATAGTATGGCTTTGCCACTCACTTTCTTCATATGGTAAAAGTAAGTAACACTACCTAACTTCGTCTTGACTTAAGTAAGTTTAAGTTTAACTTTGTAATTTTAAATTAATTGTTTTAGATTTCTATTCTATTTCTAATTACGCCCCTGTAATATACTGATAGGCCTATTTTTTTTCTTTTCTTCAGTGTTAAAGTTTAACTTAAGTTGAAGTGTCAGGCCAATAAATTAAATTCAAACTATAATTTTTATATTTATAACAATTTTCAGATTAAAATAATTTGCATTATACATATTTCTAATATGTAAACTAGGCCTAGGTTAATTTAGTCTGATTAGATAACATTTCGACTTAGAATCATCCATATGCTTACATTTACAAGCTAACTTACCTTAATCACACAAACATTTCCCCTTAAAATTTAAACTGAAGTGTAGTCATATGAAGTCGACTGGTATGTTTTATCTTTAAAAGTTAGACATTTTATTTTTCTCCAGCTATTCACTCATTTAATTTTAAATTAAATTGTCACGGAGTTCTTCCTATAGCCCTCTCACGGTGTTTATTAGTAATATTTCAAAAATAAAGAAAAACATATTTTTCGCCTGAAAAAGCAGACTTATTATAATCACAAATTACAGTCTTTCATCATGAACTTAAATCAACGTATTACGTTTTATGTGATAAACCGCAAAAATACACGTAGTTTTATATTATTTATTACTAATATTACACATATTTCAATGCAGTACCCCATAGAAACACGAGTACATTATAAGGGCAAGTATTATTCCTAATGCATTAAAGAAAATGAAACTAAATATTTTATTGATATAATGTAACATATAAATATAATAAATATTTTATTAATATAATGTAACATATAAATATAATGAAGTAATACTGATAAATTCGATTCTTGAATTGGGGAAAGAAGAGGCGCACGAAAAGATCACATAAACGGATGAAATTAAAATAATAAACTACATTGTCCGTCAGTGGCTCAGCAGTCTGTCTGCGGATTTATAAAGCTAGCAACTGGGTTTTAATACCCGTGGTGGGTAGAGAACAGGTGGCCCATTGTATAGCTTTGTGCTTGATTCCAATCAAACAAAGTAAACAACATTAAAATAAAATGAAAATAACAATAAATAAGTAAATTGTGTAATGAATAATAATGCTGTAATTTGTTTGTTAGATAGAGATGCCTGCAGGTCGTAATTATTATGGGAAAAATCTAAGAGACATAGAATATTATAAATTTTGACGTCAAATTTTCTAGTACATCCGAGGATATATATTTTAAATTCAGGGCCAGCGAAGACATAAGACAGTTGTTTCAAGATGGTAAGTCGTTTTTAACCGGTAGAGCGTGTAAGTCAGTTTTGTTTTGTTACGACAGCGGAAGTCACGTGACGCTGTTCGCACATGCGTGACTGGGTTTCTCGAATTATCAGGGAACTCCTCGAATTTTGTCGAAGCCTCTTTATTAGTATATAAGCCTGGCAGAGAAAGCCTGCGGGAATGTATTGTTACGTCTCTGGTCATTTGCTAATTTCCCGTATAATTTCTTTAGGATGAAACTATAGGGATACAAGTCCTTTCTTAAATAAAACTAGTTTATTCTTTCTCAATACAACATTGCAATACACTTAATTTCCACAGTCACTTTAACTTCAACACACGCTATAATTCCCAATGATTTACACAGTTTACTTACGGCTTGACTCGATTATCTGTCTCCCTATCTCTCTGTCTGCTATCCAATTATCTATACCGTCACTTTATTTGCCGGCTTATATACTATAAGAGCGCATGTCTAGCAAACGCTAGGACGTTCGACAGGTTCCTCGATCTTTCTAGAACTCCAGCGCATGCTCCCAGCATCGCGCGACTTCCGCTGTCGTAACAGTATGGATGATGAATGTATGGTTAAACGAACAGTAGTCACGGTGAGTTTCGGGTAATTTACGATTCTGTTTCGAGCTAGTATGTGTTTTGCACTCGTAGAGAGCGAAGGTATCGAGATTGTGAATCATTGTGATTTATAGCGTGTATTATAAAAGTTGTTAAGTTTAAAGTGACGAGAAACGTATTGACTGTGGACTTTCTGTGTATTAAAAGTTTGTATCGAGGAAGAATAAACTGGTTTAATCAAGAAAGGACTTATATCGCTGAAGTTCCTCGGAAAAAATTTCTACTGGAAATTAACAAACAAGCAGATATGTAACAGTTTTCTTTCGTTTCAGCCGTAAAGTGGCACATGTAAGTTCATGGATATATATATAACACTAGACTAGAAGTCACGTGAATTTCGCTATGTGCAAGTGGCTGCCACTGCTATGTGTTGAACTTTCAAAGCCCACCAGTCGAACTGAGAATGGCAAGGCGATCTCAACTTACAAGTTATGGCTGCTTTCCATCCAAAATAGACATTTGGATCATTTTGTTATTTGATTTGAATACATTTGTCGAGTCAAGATGATCTAAACATGATTTTAACTTAGAAATTAGTGCAAAAATCGTTCACAAAACCCATATTTAACTTGTGATATGAAGAATGCATTGGGTTTTAGCCCAGAGGGAAGTCTTAAGAATAAAATATGTTCTTTTCCTCGATGTTTATTATGTGTCACATTAAAATATACATCTCAAATATTGTTGTCAAGGGACAAGAGGTGGCTTACCAGGTCCTTTTCTGGGGTAGAGGGATGGAGAAGGATGTTATTTATATATCTGCACCTCAAACATTCAATGTTCATAATTGAAGTGGATGTAAATAATTATGAAAATTTATGATATACATATAATAAAATTCATTCGGATTTATTTGAGAATTTGTAGCAAAAATTAGTACAAATGCTTGAAAAAATACATATACAACATGAAATCCAAAAGTAACACGAATCATTATACCTATTTCATCAATGATGCATTACATATACTATACTGTACTAGATCCAAAGACAATAAATTTTAAAGACTATCTTTTTTTCTTTTACGGAGTTATGACCAAATGTCATGTTCTCTTCCCCTCCCTAAACCTACTATTAGATCTTTTTGGATCTGAGCCCTTCCCTCCAAATATTCTCTGCAAGGTCGTATAATTAAAGGCTTGATGTGCAGGGAAACTTTCTTAAAACCTCCAATTTTTATTGCACCTTAATTGTACATAACCAGTCTCTAATTGTAAAGAAAAAAAAAGAATTCCTCGTGATACTATAAATAAATTTATCATCTTGATGAAACAAATTCAAGATATTTCACTAATATATTATTCTGTAATAAGAACAAAATCTTTTGGATGAAAGGCTAACATTCTCCTCATTCGAACAGTGGCTTTCAAGATCACCCAGCCATTAAGACTAAATATCATTCTCCATAGTGAGATTCACTGTTGAATGTCGACATAACAAAGTCGGGTTGCTTAATTATGCAAAACATTTTATTTTACATGAAAATCATATATTATCGGTGTAGTACAAGACATGTGCAGATTAAAGCATAAAAATTGTGGTTACCCCGGATCTAATATATTTAACTGATAGTGACTTTAGAAAATATGACAAGTTATGAATTTACAAATTATGCAAACTTAACTTTAATGCGCAAATAAAGTTGTAAGTTTTAAATAGGTCAACTTTATGGGTATATATTTACATAATTAAAAACAAATGATACATGTCACTTTCCTTTGGCTCGGCATGCCCAGGTGGTTAGGGCGCTCAACTCGCATTCTGCGGGTCGTGGGTTCGAATCCCTGTCACACCAAACGTGCTCGCCCTTTCAGCCATGGGGACATTATACTGTGATGGTCAATCCTACTATTTGTTGGTAAAAGAGTAGCCCAAGAGTTGGCGGTGGGTGGTAATGACTAGCTGGTTTCCATCTAGTCTTGCACTGCTAAATTATGGACGGCTAGTGCAGATAGCCCTTGTGTAGCTTTGCGCGAAATTCATAACAAACAAACATTTTTCTTTACCATTTCATTAGTCTGGCGTTGTCTAATCTGCATACCATCATATATGTCCAATATTTGCTGCAAGTACCTGTGCGTCTTACTCTACCATGTACATACCTAAATTTTCATGACCAGTATATTTTCCCATCATGGACACTTCAATACAATTCATAGTGGTCCTTTTTCAACTTATATAAATTCACAATTGTGCAATAATTTTAGTCCATCAGCATTTATGATAGCAAATGAAAAGACTAACATTTGTTACGTCTCCGTTTGTTAATTGATTTCCCGTAAATTCGTTCTGACGAAACTTTAGCGACACAAGTCCTTACTTAATAAAACTGGTTTATTCTTTCCGAATATAACTTTACGATACACTAAATTTCAACAATCGCGCTAAAACAAACACTATAACAACGAACGTACTCAACTTCAATAATACTCTCTGACTGCAGATCAATTACTCACTGTCTACACACACATTGTTGTCACGTTGTGAGCGTCTTATATATATATATATATATATATATATATATACTACA